TGTCTCCAGTAGTAATATTCCTTCCAGGTTGGGGTATTAATAGACAGGCCATATGGTTCATAGACAATTTGCTCCCAACAACTTGATAGGAATTCTGGTGGTTTGATTTTTTTTTTTAATTTCAACTATAAAAATGTAAGAACCATCTGCTGTTATTTTTTTGTATGTGATCTTGGTAAGTTATTTAGCTACACTGCTCCCATGCAGTTAGCACTGCTCTGCTAAAGGCTTTCATGGCAAAGCTGAGTTACTTCATTTTCAGTTGTAATGTATGTGGAGTATGTGTCCCACCCAGATTCCTTTCATAAATTGCAGCAGCTTTGCATATCCTGCACTTAGGTTTTGGCATTTATATGGCTTGTTAGCTGGATAGAAGCTTTAATAGTAGTGGTCCATTTGATTGGTTGAAAATGGGTCACAAAGTAATTGCTATGGAGCAAACCAAATAGAGTAATGTGATAGAAAGTGATGTCAGGGTCGGGTGCAGTTGCTTTTGTTAGGGCCATGGAAGCCTTCAAAGGAGAATTTGGAGGTGACATCTGGAAGGTGGTAAAGACAGTCAAATGAAGAACTGTGGTGAGCCCAGTGAAGATCTGCAGTGAGAGAATTCCAGGAAAAAGGAAGAGTTAAGAGCAAAGGCTCTGAGCTGAGGAATAAAGAAGGTGCAGAAGGAAGTCCAGTGGGCTACACTGTAGTAAGATGGAGGAGGATGCAGGGAGCTCAGGGTGGAGAGGGTCTAGTCTAACAGGAACCACTGGGGAGTTTTAAGGGAGATGGGGTCATTCGGTTTATCGATTTCAAAAGCTCACTCTGACTGCTAAGTGAACACTGGATTGTTTGGAGCAAGAGTGGAGGCAGGGAGACCAGTCAGGAGACTAAAGCTGTGGTCTTGATGAGAAACAATAATGGCATGGACTGGGGTTGTGTGGTGCAGATAGTGAGAAGTGATAGAATTTGGGTTGTATTTTGGATATGGAATCTATGGGACATAATAAATGATTTTGACTTGAGTACTAGGTGATTAGTGGTGCAATTCTTATTCAGATATAGAGGGCTTGATGGTTCTTGATGGAAGGAAAGTTGTGACCAACCTAGACAGCATATTAAAAAGAAGAGACATTACTTTGCCAACAAAGGTCTGTCTGGTCAAGGCTATGGTTTTTCCAGTGGTCATGTATGGATGTAAGAGTTGGATTGTGAAGAAAGCTGAGCATTGAAAAATTGATGCTTTTGAACTGTGGTGTTGGAGAAGACTCTTGAAAGTCCCTTGGACTGCAAGGAGATCCAACCAGTCCATCCTAAAGGAGATCAGTCCTGGGTGTTCATTGGAAGGACTGATGCTGAAGCTGAAACTCCAATGCTTTGGCCACCTGATGTGAAGAGCTGACTCATTTGAATGATGCTGGGAAAGATTGAGGGCAGGAGGAGAAGGGGACGACAGAGGATGAGATGGATGGCATCACTGACTCGATGGACATGGGTTTGGGTGGACTCCGGGAGTTGGTGATGGACAGGGAGGCCTGGTGTGCTGCGGTTCGTGGGGTTGCAAAGAGTCAGACATGACTGAGCTACTGAACTGAACTGAACTGATGGTTCTTTTTTTGGCCGGTTAAGCTTGAGATGGCTAATGGACATCAAGTGGAAATATCCAGCAGGTGACTGAGTGTATGAATCTGGAGCTTGGGCCAGATTTGAAGGCTGACGTGTTCATTTGAATTATAGAGAGAAAGCTGAGGTCTGGGACCAGACATATTGTTGCTTAGAAGTCTGGAAGAGATGTCAGCAAAGGACATGGACAGAGTAGCCAGAGAAGCCTCAGAGGGCCGTGCGCTAAATAGATGCCTGGAAAACAAAGTGTCTCTGGAAGGAGTAAATGGCAACCTAGTCATTCAGGTTCTAATGTTAGCACTCAGCACCCATATTAAAATGTAAATCCAAAAATTTGTTCTGCAGATGCAAACAGTACAGCTGAAGCAGGCTGGGCCCACTGCCTGCCCACTGAAACCCTCAGCTATAGTGGGAGACTCTGAAACGGGGAGACTCCCTCAGAAACAGGGAGACTCTGGTTTCCTAGGGGTCTTTGCTGCAGTCTTAACCAGGATTTGTGAGGTTTTCGTTCCTTTGCTAAAGCAACAGTGATGAGTTAGTTGTTATTGTTGCTTAAATGTATACAGCTGTATACAGCTGGTACACTATGCCATAAATCAGTTCTTGAAAATAATCAGTAACTAAATTCTAATCCAGATTCTAGTTCCTCGACTTTAAGGTTCACCTAAAATAAAAGGCTATGACCAACTCAATGTATGAAAAGACACATAGAAATGCTTACAATTTTAACTAATTTATGTTCTGATCCTGACAAAATAAGTTTCATAGCAAATCATTTTCTAAATTTTATCTTTTCTCAAAGGCAGTTTCTGTTTGGGAATTAACTTTTGCTTATGGAAAATGGTTGTATTATATGTTTGTCACTTGATAAATGTGATATTATTGAAATGAGGAGTTAGAGATTTCTTGCTTTCTACCTCTCTTAAAGTGAAAGCATAACGTACCCAACCAACATTTTAAAGGGCAAAACTGGGGAGTCCTATTTTTTACCGTGTACTATAATAGGTCCTTTTCTCTGCTGTGTCAAGTGCATTTTCTGTAAAACCTAAAACAGAATCATGCTCTAAACAAGACAGTTTATTTTGGTGACTTTCATTAAGTTTGGAGGAATAATGGATTTGTTTTAAATTAAGCAGAGCTGCATTTACTTTCCAGAAGGTTTAGAGGATGACACATACTTAGGCAAACTCTGTAAATGTTTATGCAAACCTTTTTACCCTACTGACATTTAGTTGAATTTTACAAATAGGTAAATCTAGTAAGAATGTGGTGGGCTGATCACTGGCAATAGATTGTGGTGAGGAATATTCTCTTGATTATTAAACCAAATACTTAGTTCACTGATTGAATGAGTGAAATAATCCCTTTGCATAATTGCATAATTGTAACAGAACGACTGGTTCTGCTCTTTGTGAAATGCAAACTTTGATGGTACCTCAAAATTCTCCATTTTTTTCCCCCCTAAGACTAGGCTGGAAGTAGCTTGTTTCCCTGGTTGGCACAGTCTCGTTTTTTAAAGGCTGGAGCTCAAACACGGCCGTAACACATAGGGCCTCACTGGTGTGCGGCTTTCCCAGTCATAAAGGAGTGAGAGAAACATTAAGCCAGGCTGACACTTGTGTGCTTCCATTTGTGTGACGGTTATAGGATGTAACAAGCCTTGTCCTTGGATCCCCCATGAGCAGTTATCTTTTCGAGGTGTCAGACTGGCTTTGGGTGGTTCCCGGCGTCCAGAGCCGCCTGTGGAGGTGCGGGGTGAGAGTGCAGGCGGCTCTGGGCGCCCTCCTTCTCTCCCTTCGCTGCTCCTGTCCTGGTTGCTGCACGTCCTGGGGAAAGTGAAGACGAAGGGCCGCCTGGGTGGAGCGGGCTGTGGGAAGGGAGGTGTTGTGATGGGGGTCCTCTGGGGAGAAGGCCCTGTCTGTCCTCCTCCCGCCTGCCCAGGGCACAGTGCCTGGCACAGGAACTTCGGTAGTTGCCTGTTGAATGCTGAGAGGCGGAGAATCGGGGCTCAGGGCTTACGGAGCAGCACAGCAGAACCTCTTCCCTTCCCTCTGAACCTTCTCAGTCGCACACAGCCCAGCATCGTGGGGCCAAATCCCAGAGCCCACACCTGGGGAAAGCACTTGACTTACTTTATAGTGTATGTGTTGGCACTTGGTCATGTCCGACTCTTTGTGACCCCATGGACTATAGCCCTCCAGGCTCCTCCGTCCATGGGATTCTCCAGGCAAGAATACTGGAGTGGGTTGCCATTTCCTTCTCCGAGGGGATGGTCCCAACCCAGGGATCGAACCTGGGTCTCCTGCGTTGGCAGGTGGATTCTTTGCCATCTGAGCCACTAGGGAAGCCCTTACTTTATAGATGCCCCGCTTTTCTCCAAAGCGTCTCCCCAGCTAAGGTACCACCTGTGCACGTGAAGAAAGCACTGGAATAATCTGGGACAGAGAACAATAACATCTGGCTATAAGAGCAGCTTCTTAAATCTGATCATGGCATCTTCCTAGTGAATAAAATCCAAGTGCATTACAACCCTGTCTAGCTATGCAGCATGCACTGGCTCCCCATTTCCTTTCCATCTCCTCTTGTCTACCCTCTAGGTCAGGGGACCCCGACCTCTGGGATCTAATGCCTGATGATCTGAAGTGAAGTGATGTAATAAGAATGGAATGCACAATAAATGTAATACAGTTGAATCATCCCCAAATCATCCCCGCCTCCTTGGTCCATGGAAAAACTGTCTTACACAAAACTGGTCCCTGGTGCCAAAAAAGTTGGAGACAGCTGTGCTAGTTCCTTGAGCACCCCAGGCCACTTGCTGTCTGCTCCACCCTTTGCCTCAATTGTTCTTCATATGCCTCAACCTTCCTTACTCTTTAAAGATCCACTTAACTGGTACTGCTTCACAGAGGTCTTCTTTGGCCCTCATGTCCCTTCTGTCCCATTAATTTATACCCAGGCATTCTGCATTTTCCTGTGTGTTTATTTTCTTGCTTATTAGCTATCTGCCACGCTTGACTGATGCTCTCCAGGAAGGACTGTTTTCTGATTTGGTTAGCATCTAGTCATTGCCTGGCTCAGAAGAAACTCTCTGTACCTAAATATTTATTTAAATAAATGAATGAATGTGTCAACCTACCTTTCATCAGAAAAAGTGCTTCAAGTAAAAAAAAAAACAAAAACACAACATTTCTCCGATCTCAACATACAGTATACATACACACGATGAAGGTGTTGTTCATGTTGTAAAATTTCCCTCATCTTGGTAAGGAACTGCCTTGACAAGTAGCACTGGTGATTTAGTGCCTATGATCTAACTAATATTAGTGCTTTTTATTCATGACTGTCTAATGTGTTTTTTCACGTCTCTCTTTCTTTTGTCTTTCTTTTTTTAGCAAGGAAAGCCGTATGTCTTCGACAGAGTGTTGCCTCCCAGCACGACTCAAGAGCAGGTTTACAACGCGTGTGCAAAGCAAATTGTCAAAGGTAAGTGCTATTTCTTTATTTTCTCCTGGGCCTTTCAGAATAATTGGAAATGTTAAGTGGTATTTGCAGCCTAGAAATCAATGTACCTTGACTGTAAGCAGAGGCCTGCTAATTGGAAACACTGAATTATAGCAAGCTCTGGCCCTGATTTGCTATGATGTCAGGATTTAACTCCTTGATACCTCCTTTCCAAGGAGATTTCTTTATTTCTTTTGCCACCTTTTGGGCAGAGTTATTCTGTCACTTAGAAGCTTAAAAGCAGGGTAAGATATAGTCACACTATTTTTGTAATGGCTTTAAAATATTGCTGAAGCCATAGTACCTCCTCAGGAGAAAAACATCTATTCTGATGCTCCAGTTGCATATTTTTTGGTTGATTTATTTTGTGCATCTGGCTCTTCAGAAAGAAGATTTATCTTTTTACTTTTAATTTTATTGGAGTATAATTGATTTGCAATATTGTGTTAGTTTCAGATGTACAGTAAAGTGAATCTGTTATAAGTATGCGTATATCCATTCTTTTTAAGCTTCTTTTCCCATCTAGGCCATTACAGAGTTTGGAGTAGAGTTCCCTGTGCTATACAATAGGTCTTTATTAGTGTTTTTCTATATAGTAGTGTGTATGTGTCAGTAGAAATGATTTCTGAAAGTATAGTCTTCAGAAAGAAGCTTTAAAGGTGGGAAATTCTTGGGCATCAAGGAATTTTCTGCAGCATTCTAAGATGACACATTACCTTGCTGGTTAGTGGGTTGTTCTTACTACTCAGCATTCCTTAATAATACTTTCATCTAACCCACTTTCTATCATCCCACCCAGACCCTGACATTTGTTCTTCCACATAGGTAGCCTAAAGCCTGAATTTGTGTCTTAGAGATCAATTCTTTTTTCTGGGACTGGCCTTGGCCCTGAAGGATTTGTGTCGAAATAACAGCAGGGAGCCAAGCAATTTACACGTTTCTCTGCCTTGCCCTTTCAAATCAGGGGCAGGACAGAGCTTGCCCTTGGGGAGCTCGCCATCTGGACAGAGCTGACAGAGCTGAAGGGGCATCTCCTGCTCCTTTGCTTTTAATCATTGAATCCTTGCTTTCAGATTTGAATGCTGCAGTAATTGTGCTTTCAAATGTCTTGATGCTGCCACTTTCATAGGTAGTGCTAGATTTAAAGAGTGAAAAGTGAAAAAACAAAACCCCAAACTCCTTGTCCTATTAGATCTGCTTGTTTTTAGAAGCTGAGCTGACTAACGTAACTATTTGAAAGGCATGAAAATCAGCCCTGGTTACATCTGTTAGATTCATTCTGACCTTGGACACCTGTGTGGGAGACGCCTGTCAGTATGTACCATTTCTTGCTGAGGTGTATGGTTATTTACGTTCTTGTTGCAGACATCAATTCAATTAGAAGGTCTCCACAGTAAGATTATTACAGAAAATTGAAGAGAAAAAAAATACGCCAGAATGTGAGATTTTTTTGAATTAATAGTTTGGGCTTGTATCTGTGGTCATTTTTGTCTTCTTTCTAATTCTACTCTTTTGCTTCTCTGTCTAAACATATTTGCTCTTTCTGGAGTATATAGTTCTTATTTGCTCCTAGTCAGCCCTCCTTCCCCTCTATTATCAGTCTCTTTTATATTTTTATTAACGTAATCACATACAAGCCAGAATTCCTTCTTTTTCTCTCCTCCTCCATTATCAGAACCAAATAGTATTTACTGCTTGCTGTGCTAAGCATGAGGGCTATTTGAATATACAACCACCCTCTCTAAGTTGACATTGTAATGAGAGATGGATGCACTCCATTTTTAAAAAATCCTGTGATTAACAAATAATACTAATAACCCTTGAGTTTTTATTTACTAGATAAGTTTGGGTCCCTTTCAGTGTTTGGGTTTTTTTTTTTTTTAATAATATGAAATGTCAGAAATAGGACAGTCCCTAGTTGGGGGGTTCTTGTGGACTTCCTAACTGTGGATAACTTGAGTCCCCAATAGACGGTGAGTCACAAAGAAAACCAACTAAAATAAAATCAGGCTCTGACATGATATAGTAAACAGACATTTCTTGGGCACCATAAATATAACATCAACATACTCATTTTGTAGCAATAAAGAGTGTCTTATTCTCCCTTAAAAGGAAATTATTAGGGGCATAATGGAGACCAAATTTAACTTTTTTTTTTAATATCCACTGAAGCTGCCATGAGGGGGAAGTGGCTGTGTATTTCTGTGTCAGCAAGATAAAATGTAGGTAATATAAGAAAGAACTGCTTGGCATAGATTATTCAGGTACAGCTGAGGTTTCTCTGGCCATGATAAGCCTTGTTTACATCAGGAATGGAAGGTGGTGCAGTGGGAATCTTTTTTTCTAGAGGCCAAGATTTGAATCAAATGACTTCTGTAAGTCCCGTAAGTCTCTGCAATTCATGGTAATATAGTAGATTGGTGTGCTTTCCTTTCAAGTCTATCTAAACCCTTAATGGTTTTTGAGATCAGAGAGACTCCTTTTAACTAGACAGCTTTATTCTCTCTTGGTCCTTGCATTCCCTTCAACTTCACTGGGTTTAAAAAAAATATTTTGAACATTTGATTGTAGCATTCTGGCATCTCCTACACTCCCATCTTGGCCCAGTGTGTGTTTTTCAAAATGTCATCTGAAAGAGTGTAGAATTCTCTCCATTTCTTCTAGAAGAGGTGTTAGGGTTTGTGGGTACCAGCATGATAAATAGGAAGGTTCCTATGGATGCCCTAGGATTTAAAAACTCTGGTCACTGGGCACTATTCCTGAAATAATCAGAGTAACTGTGTCCCCATGTACAGAAGCCATCCCTGGCATTTGCCTTCCAGATTAACTGGATGTAGATCATCCAGTGCTAGAGAAGATGGTTTCTTATTTTCCAGTTCTAATTTCTTTAAATTGTGTCCATTTGATTGTTTCTTTCATTCCTATTTCGATGTGAGTATACTGGGTATTTGCCATACGGTTAAGTCTTGCTAGGGACTGAAGTCACTCAGACACCTGACTCTGAAGAAATCTCTGAGTATAGAGAAGGAGCAGATGCTTGCATAGTTATTATACATGTGGAGATTATGTGCTTTAAGATGGGTATGTGCAAAATGCTATGGGAGCATAGAAGAAAGTCACTTGATACTGTTAATTTTGGTGAGTGGGGAGGAGGATTGGAGAATTAAGGAAGGCTTTTTGGAAAGGTTGGGATCTGAGGAGCATAGAATATGCAGGACTGTACAAGAAGAAGGAACAGCAAAAAACCCAAAGCCTAAAGCTTATGGTGCAGAGTGATAAGCCCTAAAATGTTAGGCTGGGGACTTCCCTGGCAGTTCAGTGGCTAAGACTCCACTCTCCCAATGTAGGGGGTCTGGGTTTGATCCTGGGGCCAGGGAACTAGGTCCCACATGCCACAACTATGAGTTCACATGTTGCAAATAAAAATCCCAAGTGTTCCAATGAAGACCTAAATAAACAATTATTAAATAGAAATAAATATTTTTTTAAAAAATTAGGCAGGACCAGAGTTGGATAGAAATTGATGGACTTTATCCTATAGGCGAAGAATTGTGGAATTTTTTTTTTTTTGCCTTGTTACACAGCATGCGGGACCAGAGTTCCTTGACCAGGGATTGAACCCATAGCTCCTACAGTGAGTGCAGAGTCTTAACCATTGGGCTGCCAGGGAAGTCCCCACTGGAGAATTTTAAGCTCAGGGATATTATCAGATTGATTTTATTATTCTATTATATATGACTTTTGAGAAGAATTACATCTGTTTTGCTGTTGTTATCTGTCAGGTACCCTGTATGCATTTTACATATGTTACTGCATTTTAAATATTTACAACTTTGTGAGATGTGTGAGTATTATTATTCCCATTGTACTAAAGAGGAAATTGAGGTGAAGTAACTTGACCAGGTGGTTTAGGGACTAGTGAGGCTGTGCCTTGAACCTGAGTTTGTCTGACTTGAATTTTTCTGTACTATCCTGCCCCCACTTTTCTGGTGGGCCCGTAATGAGCATTTGATATTTATTTTATGAGTTATTCCTTTTCCATCAGGCCACATGGACTACCTTGCAGAAAGGCAGGGGTAGGAATGGGAGTAGAGAAGGGAAGAAGGGAAAGAACAGAGACTGGGTTCCCAGGGCTGCTGGGGGACCCTGGCTGCTGCCAGTGAGGAGGCACGCCTCCGTTCTGAAGACACAGCGTGCCCTTGCCTGGGCACAGTGGCGTGGGTGCCCCCAGGTCGGTGGGCCCGGCATCCTGGCTGGCTGCTGGTGTTTGGTAGGTTGGTCTCTGCAGTCTCTGGGCGCAGCCTGCTTGAGTAGTGTGGTTGGCTGGCGAGAGCCGTAGGAGTCCAAGCCAGGGCTGTCTTGTTGGCCCCTCCTGCCGGAGGCTCTGGTGCTTCGTGTGCTTCCCTGGCAGCTCAGACAGTAAAGAACCTGCTTGCCAGTGCAGGAGACTTACGAGACGTGGGTACGATCCCTGGGTCATGAAGATCCCCTGGAGGGGAGGGCATGGCAACCCACTCCAGTATTCTTGCCTGGAGAATCCCATGGACAGAGGAGGCTGGCAGGCTGCAGTCCATGGGGGCACGAAAGAGTTGGACCCAACTGGGCAACTAAACAGCAACAGCGACAACTGGGGCCACATTTGGGCCACTGTTTCACATGGAGAGATGACAGGAGGCCACGACAGCCTCCTCAGGCGCCCTGATGTGTAGCTATGACTCTGTCCTCCCTGAATTCTTACCTGCCAGTCAATGGACCTAACTCTTCTGCTTCATTAAGACCTAGACTCAGAGCTGGTGAAGCCTAGGGAGGGCAGCATGACTCTGAGGCCACACCAGGAGGCACAGAGTGTTTTCAAGGACCCGACTCCCCTCCGCCTTCTTCCCGGGAGATGACAGGACTCTTCCCGCTCACTGTGGGCTCTCTTCTGGGTTTGCTTGGCCGCTGGGTGGACGTGTGCTGTGTGGGGCCCCGCTGGTCCTATGGTGTGAGCTGAGGTCACATCACGCCAGTCCCTGTCACAAAGAAAGGTTCTGTCCAGCTGGGCTGGTCCCTGGCTCTGTGGCTGGTGTATAGAAACAGTCACCCTGTTATGACAGAGACCCTGAAACAAATGCTTTCCTCGGGCCCAGGACCTGTCCTTCAGCGTGATGAAAGTGCCTCTCTGTGGGCTCTTTCTGCAGAGGCGGCGGGTGGTGATGTGGCTCAGCCGCGGCAAGCACAGGCCTGTTCCCCTCATCTTTCTGTCCTTGGCGGGTGTCCTCCGTCTCCCCGCATCTCAGCGATGCAGCCTCACATGCATTTTGGTGCTGTGCCCCCCTCTCCATCTGTCCTCTCCCCTCATAAGCAAATGTAGATGCAACAACAAGCACCCCCCCCCCAAAACGTAGAGTTTGGAAGGAAATAGAGGATACCAGGTTAGAAAAGCTTCTTGTTTTCTTTTTAAATCACCTTCTGATTCAGAACCCAGTTGATAGAGGGTGACATCAGCCCTCTTCAACCTTGAACACCGAGATAGGTTCTCCAACAATGAATTAATTGTTACATGATTCTGAACACTTTAAAGGCTAAGTGGAGTTTGTCCTAATGGGGTTTTATGTATTCTCCTTTTCTTTTAAAAAAATAAAAATAAAAATCAATTGCCCACAGTGTTGCCATAGCAGCAACAGAAAGTCAGGGATTCTCCAAGAGCCTCACGTGCCCTTAGCTCCCTACCCCTAAACAAGCGATGCTGTCCACGAGCATTATGTGTTTGCATGTATGTGTCCCAGTCCTTAGCCTGAGGGAGTCTGGTGAGCAGTCTGACTCACTAGGATTTAGTGAGGGTGGATTAGATGGGTGGACTGGGGATGTCTACGGGGTAGAATCCCGAGGTCCTCATCCTGTTGCTTCCTGGCAGAGGAAGAAGCAAGTACTGGGTTTTCTGCTGTCAGCAGAACTGGACCCTGAGCTGAGGTTTCTTCCCGGGGGCAGCTGCTTGGGGGCAGCTGCCCAGGGCCACCTCTGTGTGCAGGTGGGCGTGTGGGGTGGCCAGCGGCGCTGAGGAGGAGCAGAGGGACTGGACCTTGGCCTTGGCTCCCTTCCGCCTGTCCTAATGCCTGAGCTAATGGGTCCCAGGGTGCTTCCTCCACAGGGACTTAAAATAAGGAAGCCCTTTCAGGGTCAGGGGAGAGGTTTAATTTCTAATCAGTTAGGAGCTTAGGTGCTTTGATTGTGGCTGGCATTGAAATTGTCTGGAGGTGTTTGTGCCGTGAACATATAGAATTTTCAAATAACATCCAAGGATGGTGACCTCTTTATTTGAGTCTCTGAAAGCATGTCACATTTGTGGTTGTGTAGAAGCTCTGACTCCCACTCTGACTACTGTTTTTGACTGGAGAAACCTTTTCTCTGAGCAGGTTGGCATTTTCAAGAAGACTGAAGCTTGAACCTCCAGCCTTTACATTGTAGTCTTCAAGCTTTTGCTTCCCTTGTTACCAGGGAAACCATTACCAGAAGTCAGATACGTGTGAACATTTTTTCTCTCTCAATATAGCTTGACGCAAACTCTTGAGAGCTGCTGTGATTTAAAAAAAAAAAAAATACTGCCATTTAATTTTTCTTTTTTTTTAGCTTCTCGAGGGAAAATCCCACTTTCTTTTCTGATCCCAGTTTACACTCCAAAGCCTCAGATCAGTAAAATGTGTATTAAAAAGATTGTTTTTAGGAGACTCAACAAAACAACAGAAACTAACCACCGTCATAAAACTGAGAGAGACCAAAAAAGCAAACAAACAAACCTAATCAGGGCCTGAAATAGACGGAGCTGATTACCTGGCTTGATTTTCTTCTTTGTACATGGCCTTGGAGAGGACACCCTCTTATAGAGCTCCTCTCCCCACGCCTCTGTGCTTTTAGGAATGAGAACTTCCTCCCTTTTTGTAAAGGTAGGGGATAGGGGATATTAATCATACATCATCCTCCTTGTCAGTGCTGTTTATGTGGGTGAAGCAGATCTAGGGAAATGAGCACTAAATATATTTTAATCACCTCTGCCGCTTTGAAAGAATTCGCACAGATAATCGCCAGCTCATAGCAACGTCTGTCTGACTGTCCACACGCCACCCCCGCCTCCCCCGCCTCCCAATCATCTCTGTGTGAGCCAGAAGCAGCCTACAGTGTGTGGGGTCAGCGCTGTCTGCTCCTCGTGTTGTTGTTTTAGTCACCAAGTCACGTCTGACTCTTTTGTGACCCCATGGACTGTAGCCCGCCAGGCTCCTCTGTCCATGGGATTCTCCAGGCAAGAGTACTAGAGTGGGTTGTCATTTCCTCCTCCAGGGACTCTTCCTGACCCAGGGATCAAACCCACGTCTTCTGCATAGGCAGATGGATTTTTTACAGAGAGGCCACCGGGGAAGCCCCTGCTCCTTGTGTAGTTAAAAGAAATTCCCAATGCTCTTGGGCCAGGGCCATCTTCCTGCCACAGTCACTGGAAAAAAAGAGGCATTACATTTGAGTCAGGACCCGGGTGGTTTCCAGGCTCACTGGATTGCCACCATGTGTCTCAGTATATGGAGTGGGGCCCCGTCCCTTCCAATAGGACAAGCTCTGTTCTGAATGGACTCCGGGCAGCTTCTCAAGAAACCTCCCCAAGGAACCTGCTGGGGCCAGGTTTAACCCAATCCAAAGCAGATCTTCAGGAGAGAAATTCTTAGAACAGTTCTTAGAACAGTGCATCTCACTGCAGAGACTCAGGGCATGATAATTTTTACCCCCTCGACAGATCTCAAGACATGGAGAAGAAAATTCAAATACCTTTCTACTAAAAATAAAATATACTGCTCAATATCTGTTTTGATTTCAATATAACCGGGAGAAAGTGTGTCCGCCTCTCCCTTCATTAATATATTGCATAGGCATGTGAGTCCATTTATTTTTATTTTGTGGGGCTGTGGAGGCCCTCATTCCTGCTTTTATCGCACAATTCTACTTAAAATGCAAATGGAATTGAATACATCATTTGTGTGAAAAATGAGATGGGCCATTTGGAAAATGTAATTTTAAAACAGGCAACCGGCACTGGCATGCAATCAAAGTAATGAGTTACTTTTAATTTTTTTCTTGCCTGCAGATGTCCTTGAGGGTTACAATGGGACGATTTTTGCATATGGACAGACCTCATCAGGAAAAACACACACCATGGAGGTAAGGCTTCAGGGTACTGTTATGTCAGTCTCTGAGATGACTGAATGGAAGTGGTGCTTCCTGCAAAATATTAGGTGCATGTGGCTTTTTGACTGAGCAATAGAGATGGTTAAGGGGATGTTATGTTTGTGTCACAATTTTTGTGTATCTTTGAGGTGTTTTAAAAATAGTGGTGAGTAATAAAGTCTCAGGAGTTCAGTATTTTTTAAAAAATCATCTTTTGATAACTCTGTAAAAATATTAATAATAAATTCTATTTACAATAAGCTAACCAGTGGCGTGAGTATCCCTATGGGCTGTCATCCCAATCTTGCTGAGAAAGTCTGTTGTGAAAATCATTTACTCTCTAAAGAGTCTCTGGGGAGGCAAGTCTCTTCTGAACAAATAAAAATTTGTAGGTCAGAGGTTGAAAGAAGCTGGCTTTTGGACCAAATTCAGCCCACAGACATATTTCTGTATGACCTGCAGTGTTCTGTGGTTTTTTGGTTGTTATTTGTTTGCTTTTTTACAAATTGAAGGCAGTGTTTAAAATGGGAAAATTTCAAACAATTGTAATTTGAAAATTCTTAGATTCTTATACATTTTGGTTGAAAATTCTGATGATCTAGCAACTCTGGGTGCAGTTTCACCATCATATGAAGTGTAAGTTTCATTGGAACAAAGCTGTTCGTTGTCTTGTTCACCTTTTTACTCACATTGCTAGTATGTGAGACCACGGCTGTCACATAGGAGGGCTTCGAAAGAATATTTGTGAAAATGGTACCCTCATGGTGGCCCCGGCTGACGCATGAGTGTTGGGCCAGCCCTTGTGGTCGCCTGGTCCCCTCCATGCACATCGTGATTGAATGTTTAGCATCCTTCCCCAGAAACATACACCCCTGGCCCCCCTGTGCCCTTGAGGGTGTGCCCCCAGCTGTAATCGTTGGCCCTGGATTTCTGTGGCTCCAGGCAATTTTCCAGACAGGGCATGCCTGCAGAAAAAAATTGGTCCCTTTTACCTCTTCTTTTCCTGCTTTTTGCCATGGACTTGACTCCTAAACAAGCTTTGGGGCTGGATAATTGTTCTAAAGACTGGGCCCACCTGACAGGTGAGGAGAGGTGAAGAGTGGTTATTATAAGCAACTACACAGAGGAAGTTTGGGGAATTCATCTTACAAGCAGCGGGGTAAGATGAATCCTCAATCCTTCAAGCTTAGCTTTTTCATTTACGGTCCCCTCTTGGGACTGTCACTGAGTTGGCTACTGCAGACTGGGTTTAGCTTATGAATCATTCCTATTGAAGAAGAGATTTCAAAGGCACGAGGCTAATATCCTCAGGGCTCTGGTGTTCTGCTCACACCGACTTCAAGTGTGGGGCATGACTCTGGGGGACCTCATTCCTGTTGTGTTGACTCACTTCCCCCCGTTTCGCTGAGACAAAGGGGTTCAGAGACTGCACGGATTAAAGGAAGCCCCAGGTTTATTTGCCACTTTTCCCAGGTGGAGCAGGACTGTTCTTGGTCACCTGAGCCTTTTGATCTCTCTTCCCCTGCATCTCACATCCTTGGAAATGGGGGTACAGGCATGGGTGTACCCCACGCTTCTGCTTTGGCCCTTCTCCTGCCTCTCTACTGGGCCCCAGACACTTTACCTGCTAGGCACTAGAAAAACTGCAGTGATCCATTGCCTGAGTTTCACCCACTCCAGTAGCCATGGGCAGAAAATCCTTCATAACACCTGAGAGAGAGAGAGAGAGAGAGAGAGAGAGTAAGAGACAGCTTCTCATGAGGGAATCATTCCTTAGTTTTGTGGAAACTTGCCCAACCATATACAATACAAAAAAAATGCAATATTTAAACCCTCCCCCCCACCCCCAAATCTTACAAAATGCTTACACTAGTGACCTTTTAAGCTTTGGGATTAATTCATCTTTGATAAATAAATACAATGTTTTTGCTAAATGTCAAAATTTTTAATTGTAAACCACCAAACAAGAGACCTGTCCCCAGGGTAGAATCTTTGTTTGTGTTGCGTGTGGGTGGCCAAGGACAGGTGGATGTGAGGAGATGGCAAAGAGGTGTGCCAGCCCCAGCCCCTTCACTCTAAAATTGGAGACCTCGTATTAAATGAGAGCCTCTGCAGCTGTCTGTGACTCCCTGCGTAAGCCCCGCACACTGGGAGTGGTGCTGTGGGTCTGGAGGGACTCCTGGGACCTAAAAGGAACAGGATACCGTGCCGGCGGCTCTCACAGTTGCCTGAATTCTCTTGCCTTTCCTTCCTTGTCACTTTCAAAAGGTTGCTGGGAATGAGCTGCTTTCCTTTACGGTGACTCTAGAGGATCACATGCTTATGTCTGCAGGAGGAAGGAATGGGGTGGATGGGGGTCCTACCCGAGTGTCTTCCCACCCCCTACATACTCTGCATCTGGCTCATTCTGAAGGGGGATGATAGTTGGAGAAAAGGTAGGAAATATTTTAGAGGAAAACAGAGGAAAGGGGAAGCTCCACGCTGAAGTCTAGACACTGCAGGAGACCAGGAAACCCAGGGCCCTGAGATACAATTAAAAAAAAAAAAACCAACAAAACCCTGCAGGGCTCTCACCTACAAGGAGGATTTTATATATTCATCATTACACATTGCGATCTTTTAAAAGCTCTGGGAAGGGACTGTTAATTCCGTGAATGGACAGAGCTGTCACATTTAAAAGCTGTTTTTCATTTTAATCCCCCACCCCAACCCCAGTTTGGGGTCTGGCGTCCAGCGGTGATTCCATTACCTTCTATTGAGGGGAGCAAACAGATGAGCCCACATAAAATTGGAAAGATTAGCTTCTGAGGACGGTGCATTTCAGGCGGATTTTCAGCACAAATGGGAAACACTCGGCAGTGGGTGCTAAGCCGAGGGGACCCTCGGTGTGCTGGGCCCTGGCTGGGCCCTGCTGGGCAGCGTGCAGGGGCTGGTTGGAAGAGGGGTGCTGGGGGGCTGGCTGCACGGAGAAGGGCGGGCTGGACCTTGGTTCAGAGCGGGAGGCCGGGAAGGGCTTCTCCCGCCCCGTGCCCTGCCCTTTGGCCCGCGTCTGCACACTGACTCAGATGGATGCAGACACGCTGCGTGCTTCCTTCTGCCCAGAGGGACACGGAGGCCCTGGGAGGCGCGGGCTGTCCTGCGAGGAGCCGCCAAGTGGTTTTTCACGAGCCTGTCTGCGTGCCTTGGTGCTTGTGCGCTGACGGGCCCCGCTCTCCCATCTTAAGTGTTTCAGGAAACTCTGTCCTGCTTGGGAGGCTGAGGAGGCCACTGGGGCTGGAACAAAGGCAGTCTTGTTCCATGGCCAGTGGCCTGGGTCTGGTTTCTGCTTTCACATGTGCTCCAAGAAGGCCACCTTCAGAGGTGGGGAAATTATACAGGATTTGAGGAAGATTATACAGGATGCAAGTATTAAAATGTCTCTTTTGCTTTCTGGGAGAAACAAGATGCTGGAGTGGTAATGTCCACTCAAGTTCATCCCTGATCCTCCAGCCGACTAAACTTGTCACTGTTCCACAAACAGCAGTGTGCTCTCTCGGTTCCTCCCCTGTTCTCTTTCTCCTATTTCCTTGCCTCTGCCCACAGTCTCACGTCCGTCCTTAATCATGCTCATCCCTCAAGATCTGGTGTCTTTCAAGGAAGCCATCCTGTGTCACCCCAGCTGCAAGGGATGTTTCTGTTCTCTGAGTTTCTAGAGCTGATTGCCTCTTTATCACCTTTTTTGCCTGAGGTGGCTGTTTTTTGTTTGTGTACATATAGCTTCCATTTGCAACATAGATGCAGTGAAGACCTTTGTGGAACACCTCTCTGTCTCCTACACACACCACACAAATCCATCATCACTGCACCACATATACACCATTCACGCCTATACCACACACACCTCCACACCACACACATCTATCATCACTGCACCACACGTACACCACACACACTTCCACCACACACTCTTCCATAGCACACACACCACATATACCCCACATAGCTCCACACCACACACATACTCCATACCACACACACCACACACCCCACACATACCCCACACACCTCCACACCACACACAGACCCCACACACCTCCACATCACACACAAACACAACCTATCTCCACACCATACACACCACACACATTTATTCTCACCACACCACACATACCTCCACATCACACACATATCCCACACACCACTCACATTCATCCTCACCACACCTCACATCGATAGCCTTCCCCACACATCCTCATGCCTCTCTCACCCACTCACTGTGTACACCACACACAACACAAATACACATACTACACAAACACACATCATACCTCACACGCAACACATATACTACACACCGTGTACATTGATACCACACACACACACACACACACCCCCCTCCACATGCAGATTATTTTGGCATCCTCAGTTTATGGAGCATAAAGGCCCTCAGCACTCTTGGACTTATGAGCTAGAAGAAGGCACCCTAGCCCTTTGGTAGCTTTGGGTATCACTGCATCACTATGGGAATGGGGGGTATTACTAGGCCTTCTCCAAACAAACATGTGCTCCTTCTTGTATGATTTTTGCGTTGAGTCTTCAGGGAAACAAAATAGGGAGTGTCCAGACTCATCCTGATTCTGCCTTGGTTCACACCCCGATGAAGGCAAAAAAGGGATGTCAAAACTTGTATGCACCCAGAATTAATTGGAAGATCAGTCTGTTGAAAGCAAAGGCATCTAGGGAAACAGATTTGAGTCAGTTATAAATGATTTTTGGATTATCAATCATTCTCCTTTGGCTGTGGGCCACTGAGGAGAAGCTGAAGTGTTGTGATGGATTATTCAAGAGCTCCAGGTGGGGGGTGGTGGGGGAGGATGCTCTTTGGACTTTCTGAGTCAGATTGACCCATTGGTGTCACATTGGATAGAATAGAGATCTGTGTTTTCAATGTGGACCATTTCTGCCAGCAGAGTCCACAGTCCAAAGCGGGTGGTGTCCAGTATTCTGATTTGTTACATGTTTATGATGGCCAATGAGAAGTGAAGGCCCAGTAATTTGGCTTTGTTTTCATTAGATATATCTGGGGTAGTAACATGTTTTCAGACTCTTCAGGTCAAATAAACACTAACAACTGCTTAATGAGAACATTATTATGAGCTGAATAATAACATTTATTGTTACTCAGCCCATTATATATACTTTTCAATTTAGATTCTATAGTAATTACATGCAGTAGATATTGTACTGAGTCTCATAAGCCCTGGAAAAAAATACTTACTGGCCATCCTGCCTTTAGGGAGTATACAGTTAAACTTAAAAAAAAAAAAAAAACAAGAGAAATACATCAAATGATTTAGGATTCTTGGCAGATGAGGCATTCCAGGAGAGTACCTGTTTTCCTGGTAAGAGAGCTTTGCCAGAGGCCAGAAGTGTCTGAATTCAGCTTTTCCCTTGCTTTGGACAGAGTGGACGGTCAGGAATCATTTCCCTGCCTGAAGGACAGCTCATAATGGAAAGTGTTTTGTGGCCTGTAGTTAGTGCCAGGGTTTGTGTGACTTCTTGCTTTTCGTAACTCAAATATTGGCTTGAAAGTCACCTGAAAGAAAAAGAGGACTTGATTGAGGAAAACAAAGCAGATCTTTGAGGTATTGGGCAGATTTGGAACAAAGGTATGTGAGTCAAATTCATAAAAGCTGTTGGGCATTCCTGGAAAACCAGAGAGCAACTTGGCTGTTCTGCCAGCTCCATGTCTTCCTAGAGTTTAGAACTTCTGAAAGGCAGAGTGAGCTGGGTATGCAGTTACTGACAGTTGCTTTGACATGCAAACCCTGTGTTTGTGAGCTGATAGGTTATTTAACGTGGAACTTAAGTGTTCCTTTGGGTGTGGTGTAGAGAAGGCTCTCTGGAAGTTGTATGCTGAGGTCCTTTGTAAGTCTGCTGCTTTGAACACTTATAGAACTCCTCTTGAAGAATTAGTTTCAGGTACTATGCTGTATCTTTTGGAAAGTCTTTGAAGCAGCAAATTCTGGATTTTGAAAATGGATTTAGTGATAATTGAGATAACAGAAACATTCATCTATCCATCCATATATTAGGTAAAATGAAGACAAGTGGGAAAGAGGGGGAAAAAAGTTTATAAGCAGATTTACATATTAGAAACAGCCAAAATATTTGAAACAATAAAAGCTGGGAAGTATAGATTTTAAAAGAAATTGATAAAATGGATTTTCTTGATTGGTTTTTTAAATTGCTACTGCAGGTATTTGCAGAATCAGGTTCTTAGAAATGTTTAAGCAGTGATGATGTGAATGAAACTATGTCTATCAGGTCTTGATGTGATTTCATTAAGGCAGATTAACTTGGATTTGTAGGTTCTGGTCTCTGTGTTAACATTCCAAACCAAAGCCCACATTTAGTATGTTTCAGTCACACAAATAACCTCCTTCCTTCTCCTGCTTTCTCTCTCCCTTCTACCCACAAGCTTACATGCATACACACTGATCTGCTGTCCCATGTGGGCTTGAGTTACCCTGCTAACTGTTGGTCTGTTGGCTTGTGGGGTGGATCTCCATGGGAGCAGGCAGTGTCTGTGTTCTGTTTAAGTGTCTCCCTGTTCCTGTTTAAGAAGCCCGGGTATGGTCCTTTCTCTCTCTCACACGGTGCTCAGGTACTCAGCACCCTTTAGATATCTATGTTGTGTTTTTCACTCACTAGGGGAAGCTACACGACCCTCAGCTCATGGGCATCATTCCAAGGATTGCGCACGACATCTTTGACCATATCTATTCCATGGATGAGAACCTGGAGTTCCACATCAAGGTAAGTGCAATTGATTGAGTCCCAAGAAAAGAAACTGAGCCCCAAATTGTGTTTCTTTGCTTTCCTCTTTATACATGCACATAGAAGATGATTTTATTGATTTTAAGTGACATTCCTGTGGTCAGCAGAGCCGTATTTATTATTTAATGGCTTAGGCCAATACTGAGGAAGTATCGAGATAAAGGAAAAGCCCTTTTTAGGATGGAATCATCGTGATTGTGGCCTGAGTTCTCCCCTTTACCCTGTGGATTTCTATAGATATGACTGGCGTGTGTCCGTAATTGGGCATGGACAGCATTTCCCAAAGTGTGTCTGGGAACCCAGTCCCTCATATCATTACTCAGTGGGCTGCCGTGGAAAAGACTTATGTGGCCAATTTAGCTGGGAAAATGCTCTTGTTGAACAATTTAAATTTACCTCATGCTTAAAGTATGCCATTGTGTAATGCACTTGTACAAAGTGGACATGTGGTATATTACATTTCCCAGCTTCTTTGACTGTGGACCTACTTTTCCCTCCTTGGAGGGCGACAGACTAGCATTTGGAGGAGCACGTTCTGAGAAGTGCTAAGAAAGGGAATTCTTTTCATTCTTGTTTTTGTTTTTCATACCTGTGTTCTGGCTTAAATTTGAACTGAAAAAGGGAGATTTCTACTCTCTTAACTATAGCTGTTAATTCTTAACATTTGGTATGAGGGGTATATTCATTGGAACTCCTTTGTTTGCAAGTGACTAAAAATCACTTATTTAAGCAAATAGAGGAAGTTGTTGTAGATAAAGCATCTGACAGCGGGTGTGGGGGAGGGAAGTTGTGGAGAAGTAAGAAATCCAGGCTCTGCTTTTCCTTAAGAAAATTGTGATATGGTTCACATACCATAAATTTAACCTTTTTACAGTGTACAATTTAATGATTCTTAGTATATTTTCCAAATTGTACAACCACGATCATTGTTTATTATGCCAGTGAATACTAAGCAGATTTATTAAGTAAGTGTATAGTCAGTTATATGGAAAGTCTTACAGCACATTTTAAATGAAAGGGGAATATATGATTTCCATAAAGAATATTAGTAACATCACCTCTGAAAGGTGAGACTACAGATGATTAGTTAAATCAAAGTTTTGTACATGTTTATCCTAGAAGGTAGCAAGAAAACTAGGCACTAAGAAGGCAAAATGCAAAATTAAACATGAATTTTGAAAAGTACATTCTACAAGACTTACTGTATAGTCTTTTACCAGCAAAAACAGATTCTGACACCTACTTTCCATTCTACTTTTGGTAGTCCTATTATTCAAAAATCTTTTGTGAAAAACTTACCAGTAATAAAGTACAAACTTCAATTGGAAACATCAGATTATCTCTGTATAATGCTTTCAGGATCACTGGTTAATTCCAGAACATTATCATTACCTCCAAAAGAAACTCCATCCCTGTTAGGGTCCCTGTCCCTGCCCTCTTGCTTTATTTCTTCCCCTTGTTCCAGACCATCTTCCTCTTGTGTGTGTGTGTGGGAAAGAGGGTGACATCACAGCTTCTGCTCCACATCCCCTTATTTCCAGTCCCTCATTCCCCTGGGAGGGAGCCCATTGGCCCAGCCTTGGTCTGATGAGCTGTGTCCAGGATGCACATGGCTGGTGGGGTCCTTGCCACAGTGACTATTGCAGAGACAGGGTTGACAAGGGGATAGGGAGGAGAAGGGGGCATTTCTAAGATGACTTGGACTTGAGCAGATCAACCGAGAGGCTGATGATCCTTGAAAACTGGGATCCAACTGCCTCAGTTCGGTTCGGTTCAGTTCAGTTGCTCAGTTGTGTCTGACTCTGCAACCCCATGGACTGCAGCACGCCAGGCCTCCCTGTCCATCACCAACTCCTGGAGTTTACTCAAACTCATGTCCATTGAGTCAGTGATGCCATCCCACCATCTCCCAGGCCCATCGTTTTAGAATAAGTAAACTGAAGTTCAAAGATATAGAGCCCAATGGCCCAAGTGACATCAAGTCCTCAGCACAGTCCTGATCTGACCAACCCCACATGTAGTACCTGTTCCATTATATTAAATTTCTACCTTCACTTATTTCTGTGGTGTATGCACGCTAAGTCGCTTCCATCGTGTCCAACTCTTTGAAACCCTATGAACTGTAGCCCACCAGGCTCCCCTGTCCATGGGATTCTCCAGGTGAGGATACTGGAGTGGGTTGCCCTGCCCTTCTCCAGGGGATCTTTCCCACCCAGGAATCAAACCTGCGTCTCTTATATCTCTTGCATTGACAGGCAGGTTCTTTACCACTTGAGCCACCTGGGAAGCCCATTTCTGTGGTACCTTCCCCAGATTATATAAAAACAAGGCAACAACTATTTGCCCATTTATAAAGTACATCTGGCAGATCTTTTTCCTTACAGCTCCCTTTGTTGGCTGACGCCAGCTTCTCCTCCTTGCCAGAGTTCTTTATATCTGAGGATGCAGAAGCTTGTTGCTTTGATGGGATCAAGATTTAGGAGCTTAGTGCATCTTTAAGGCTGTTTGCATTTAAATACCTTGAACCACTGCAGGGTTCTTATGGGATAATCCTGGAGTAAGATGTTAAACCAATTATTGCCCTCAAAATAGGGTCTCACATTAGAATCTTATTAAGATAAAAATAGCCCCAGCATGAAGGGAGGGAGGAAAGGGGGAATGAGCTCATGTCCAGGGCAGAATTTTACAGTCTAGGGTCCTGTCCTGCGTCTGTAGTTATGTTCTCTTATTTCACAGATGATAATTGTTAAGTAGGCAAGTTTGCTATTGATTACTCCGTATTTTGAACTGAGTAGTGACAGGCTTAATAAAGAAAAAGAGGCTTGATTAAGACAATATTGAAAATCTGCTCTTTAAAGTGAGCCTCACAGAGGTTTTAAACATTATTTCTGAACATGCTTTTAAATGCTTATTTATTTTTCTTCCATCTGCTCTTACAAAGTATTTGAGGTGACAGAAATAACAAAATTCACCCCCCTCCCAAGAAACCACTATCTGCTATGGTAAAAAGAAATATAAATCAGAATTCTCTGTAATTCTCTGTATACTTATATTAAATATGGACAAGTTTCTAAGTGCCAGATTTGCTAATATCTACTTCACAAGTGGTCTTCAAGTGTCATTAATTTTCTCTGTAACCTGTGGAAATACGGACACATGCTTAAGCTCTCAGAGTTAACAGAAAAGTCTTAATGAAAACCAGACAATTCTAAAATACAGAGTGGGTTGGAGCCGAGGTTGAGTGGGCTGCAGAAAGACTGGATTAGAGATGTTTAAGGTTTAGAGACCAAGCAGACCCTAGAATTGTGGCCTCAGGGAGAGGTTTCTGGAGCAGTGGGTAAGGTAGGTGTGTCTGCGACAGAGCCAGTAACAGGGCCGTTTGACTGGCATTCAAGCAGGCAGAGGTTATTAGGGAGAGGATGCTCAGCTATAGATTCCAGGGTTTGAAGCCAGGACCCCAGATCTCAGAGAAAAGAGGAGTCAGGAGGTTCCAGGCTGAGACAGACGAAAGATAATGAACCAGGACTGAGCTGGGTTGGGACTAGTGCTGGGCTGGGGAGTCTTCACTTCGCCTGGTCCAGAGCCAAGACTGGTGGTGCAGGGGTGAGGTTTCACCTGTAGAGTTGCATCCCAACTTTACAACTATTTTTTCAGCTTTTTAGAAAACATCTTTTTGATTCAATCCTCTGTTTAGATTTCTGGGGAGGAGGAATTGGGGGGGAACCATGAACTTGAGGGAAGGAAAAGTTGATCTGGTTGGCAGAAGGCAAGTGTAGGTAGAGTAGAGAATCTAGAGGGAATTTTTTATATCAATGGCTTCATATGTCAGATGGGAGCATTGAAGTCTAGGTTCTTGATTACTGGTAAATTAAATCTCCAAGATCACATATCTAGTTAGAATTGTTACCAGATGTCAGCCTTGGGTAAGGGTCACCTGGGGAGTTTAGAAGTGGATTCCAAAATCCTATTCTTGGAGATTCTGATTGAGGAGGATTGCAGTAGGGTTCAGGGCAATTTAAACAAACGCTAAGTGAGATGCTGGCATAGGCAGTGCTGGGACTGAGGTTTGAGAATAATTCATTGGAAGGCTTCCTTTCCCTCTCACAGATTAATTCTCTTTTATTAAGTTGCATTTTGTTCAAGTCCTCTTGGACTCCCCAAAGCTGGCCACTGTCACCAGCTCTCTTCCTGTTACCGGTTCCGTAGTTCTAAGCAGCTGCCCTTATCCCCGCCTCTCCGCCTTCTTCATCTGAATGTTTGGAGCACGCCCCCTCGCTGGTCTAATGAGGCTGTCAGTCTCATGCCCAAGGTGAGGCCTACTGGCTTTTTGACAGTTACTTGCAGAGGACATGTTCTGCTCTAGCTGTTCTCGTGCCTAGAAGCTTACTTGGTGCTCATCTAAGGTGAAAGGTAGAGTCTTCCGTAAGACTAGCACAGGATGTGAATAGCATCTGGTTGGGAGCATAGGGACCTCTGATGTGGGGGTGGGGTGGGGCCTGGGCCGCTGAGCAGGGCCTCTTAGAGCAAGCTGACAAGTAGGAAGCAGGAGGCCAGTGAGAGGTGGGGGGTTGGCCGGAGCTCTCCCCTCTAGACTCTGAATCTTCATTTTGTAGCCTTCTTCTTACTCTTCATAGCATGACAAAAAAAGCTTTTGAAAGTTCTAATAATGATGTTATTGAAATACAGCATGGCATTTCTGCTTCAAAATCTATTTGTTTTTAATCAGGTTTCCTATTTTGAGATCTACCTGGACAAAATCAGGGACTTACTTGACGGTGAGTAACCTGAATTCTTGTCCTTTGTTCTGTAACTAAAGTGCAGGGAGGTTGAAATGTTTTATATCCCTTCTGCTTCAGGAATTTATAGAGACTTTCTGTTGCCTTCAGGCTGTCTGCTTATTCTCAGTCAAAGCTTTAACTTGAGTTATTGCAGATTAGATCTGCCTATCTTCTGTAACAGTTTCTATTTTTCCTCCAATACAGGGTCTTTAACTTTTCTTTTCTTCTTTGCATGTCATCATTATCGTCTCTGTAGTATCCAAGACAAACTTGGCTGTTCATGAAGATAAAAATAGAGTCCCGTACGTAAAGGTATGAGGAAATCTTGACTGATGATGCAATTGATTTCCCTCCAATCACTGTCATAATTATTACCTAAGATGCCCAGAACATTACCTAAAAAGTACATATCCATATTTAATCGTTTCTTATATTTAATATTCATCTGGTTAAAAAATTGACATTTAATTTCTTCAGTTGTATCTATGTAAGTGTATCCCAGCTGTCAGATCACAGGAGGTAAGAACTAGAGAACTGAACAGACATTATTCACATTTAAAGAGGCTTTGGGATTGAGTACAGTTGTTCATACTTGGCACTTGGAAGAAGCCTATCGTAGCATTATGTCTACAGTTTCAGTATCTAATTAAAGTTGGTGGCTAGATTGAACAGCAAAACAAGATTTCATCCGTTTCTTTCTCCCTCATTGGTTTTCTTCTTTATTTTCTGTCTCCCCTGCTATTAAGTGTGACTATGTACTTAAAATCTGGCATTTCTTTTATGGTTTACTTCTGGGATTCCCAGTGTTTCTCAAACTTCTTTTGAATGTAGAATTCAAGCCCTTGGCAAGGAGTAAGAGTTTTTGGGTCGACACTGTATCCTTTCTCTGCATCTGCAGTTCTAGAAGTGGGAAAATGTTTATCTGTTTTAAAGTCTTGTTGCTTTTCGGTTTTTCAGTGACAGACTTGCTCTGGCTGTCTTGCAGGGGTGCACCGAGCGGTTTGTGTCAAGCCCGGAGGAGGTCATGGATGTGATAGACGAAGGCAAAGCAAACCGCCACGTGGCTGTAACAAGTAAGCCTGGTGTGGTGTTTCCTCCCCTCTAACCTAGGAAACACATATCTGCCTACCAGCAAGGTCGGCTGCGGGTAACGAGATCCAAGTGGAATAATGCCCAAGAAGGCATTTATACAGCAGTGACTGGCACTCAGACGCAGGGGTGTGTGCAGTACCAGCGGACCTGGGCAGGTCCTGGTACAGAAACAGCGCCTCCTGCCGTCCAGGGCCTGTTGGAGATGTTGGGTGACATTGGGCCTGGGTACCAGCCTGAGCCTGAACACTGGGGTAAGCAACCAACCAGCCAACTAAAGGTGGAAGAAAGTAAGCTCCTGAGTTCATTTATTTTAACTCTATTATTGTTTAAAAAATGCAAACTGACAGATTCTATATGCTAGTCGTACTCATCAAAAGAAACTATGTTAGATTTACATCCTCTGTAAACAAGGAAAAGAAAGACGCAGGAACTCAGAAAGGGGGGCCGGGTGCCTTATTGTAAACTCTTTGCTGCCTTGTCCATAACAGACACAGTCGGGTCAGCTGGTTGACCTTGTGGTGCCTTCCTCAGGGAAACAGGTCATGTGGAGTTAGAGCTGCAGAGGTTCCGTGAGACGATGTCTGTCTTATTCAGAGGGGCAGGGACAAGTGAGAGTGACTTCTTGTGAAGATCTCCTGGAAGAAAGAATTTCTAGCTTTGAAGAGAGAAACTTATCTGGGCAGGGCATGTAGATATGTCTTAACACAGTCTTGATGTCTGCAAGGTGCTGACCTTCAGAAGGTCAGCTTGCTTTGTTTGATCTGAATGAGTAGACCATCCAGGACAGTTGACACTCACAGACAGGCAGATTTTCACCTACTACAAGAAAAACCCTTGTCCTTATAGCTGCTTCACATAAAGCCTGCTACCTGGAGAGGTAGCGAGTCCTCTGCATGGTGTAGAAGAGATTCAAACACTGCTTGCTTGTTGACTGGTTCTATGATATTTTGATCCAGAACTGTAATTCTCAACTGTTTTTCTACTGCAACGCATGTATCAGATGATATTCATATATGTGGCAAGTTCCCTATGTGAGCCTAGACTTGTATACAGTATGGGTTAAACTCTATTTCTTTCTCTTCTGCTTAGACACTTACAGAAAGAATGATACACTTACATTAACAGCATCTCTTGTAAAGAAGTTTCCACTCTGTTTCTTAAGTTAGTTATGAATTATTTGTTATACACCTGATAGTCTCTCATGGCCCTCTGCTTCAGAACTGTTGGTCCAGAACATTATACTATTTTTTCTTATTCTGGTAAGATGTTTTCTTTTTAAATTTTGTTATATTATGCATAACATACAATTTACCATTTTAACCTCTTTTAAGTGTCCAGTTTAGTGGCATTAAGTACATTCACAATATTTGCAACCATCACCATTTCCTGTTTCCAGAATTTTTAATTATCCCAAAGTGAAACTCCATACCCATTGAATAATAATGGCCTGTACCATACTTCCTTCTCCCAATTCCTGTTAACCATTGTCCTTCTTCCTGTCTCAATGAATCTGAGAACTCTAGGTACTTCATATAAGTGGAATGATACAAGTCCTTTTGTGACATGCTTGTTTCACTTAGCACAGTGTCCTCAAGATTCATTCATGTTGGCATGTATCAGAGTTCCCTTCCATTTTATCAGGCAGAGTAATGTTCCATTGTATGTATACACCACATTTTGTTTATCCATTCATCCATAGATAGACATTGTATTGCTTCTACCTTTTGGCTGTTGTGAATAGTGTTGCTGTGAACATGGGTGTTTAAACATCTGTTCAAGTTCCAGCTTTTAGTTTTGTTTTTTGGGTATATACACCCAGAAGTAGAATTGCTGGATCACGTGATAATTCTACTTTTAATTTTTTAAGGAACAGCTATATTGTTTTCCATTGCAAGTGTACCATTTTGCATTCCCATCAACAGTGTGCAAGAATTTCAGTTTCTCACATCCTTGGTGACACTTCTTATTCTGTTTTCTTTTTAATAGTCATCTATTATGTAATGATGTAAAATGGTATCTACTGAGATTTTTGGTTTGCATTCCCTGAATGATTAGTGATGCTGAGCATCTTTTCATATGCTTCTTGGCCATTATGCATCTTCTTTGGAGAAACGCTCTTCAAGTCCTTTTCCCTGTTTGTAAAAATTAGGTTGTTTGGCTTTTGTTGTTGTTATTTGTAGGAATTCAGTCCCTTATCAAGTATGATTTCAGATATTTTCTGTCATTCTGTGGGTTGCCTTTTCACTCTTTTGACAGTGTCCTTTCATACACAGTGTTCTACATTTGATGAAGTTACATTATTTTTTGTTGCTGTTGTGGTTTGTGTTTTGGTGTCATATCCAAATCATTGCCCAATCCAGTGTCATGAACCTTTTCCCCTATGCTTTCTTATAAGGTTTTATAGTTTTAACTTTTACATTCAGATTTTTTACCCTTTTTGAGTTAACTTTTATATATGACCTAAGGAAAGAGTCCAACTTCATTCTTGCATGTGGATATCCAGTTTTCAATTTGGTGAAGAGACTGTCCTTTCCTTGTTGAATGGTCTTGACACACTTGTCAAAAATTACTTGACCATGTTATGTGAGGTTTTATTTCTAGGCTTTCTATTCTGTCTTATTGGTTTATATGTCTGCCTTTATGACAATACCACACTGTTTTGATTACCATAGCTTTGTAGTAAGTTTGAAATCATTGTGAGACCTTCAAGTTTGTTCTTTTTAAGGATTGTTTTGGCTATCCAGGGTCCCTTGACATTCCATATGAATTTTAGAATGGACTCTTCTATTTCTATAAACAATATCATTGGGATTTTGATAGAGATTGTATTAAATCTGTTGGTAGTATGGACATCTTAACAATATTAAGTCTTAATCCAAGAACAAGGTTAGCTTCCCATTTACTTGTGTATTCTTTAATTTCTTTTGGCAACATTTCATAGTTCTCATTATTTGCCTTTCATTTTCTTGGTTAAATTTATTCCTAAGTATCTTATTCTTTTTTCCTATTTTAAATGGAATTGTTAATTTCCTTTTTGGATTGTTTATTATCATAATATATAATGCAACTGATTTTTATATATTGCTTTTATATCCTGCAACTTTGCCAAATTCATTAGTTCTAACATTTTTCTGGAAACTTTTAGGGTTTTTCCCCCCACATAATCTGGTTAGATGGTTTTGAGAACTGATTACCAATGTGGGTTGAATAAGACAGTCACTGGGGTCCTTGTCTGCCTGGTGAACAAAGACCAAGATCCAAGAAGATTTTGATTTTTGTTACTTGTTTCTAATAAAGCCTATTTCATCTCTGAGACTTTCCATGTTCCTAGCATGGGTTATAAAAGAAATGTATGTCTTAATCCTTCTTTAATAAAGTCATAATTCTTCCTTAAGAAAGGTTGTGATATCACTGGTAAGTCAAGGCCTGCACCCATGAAGAAGATGGAATACATCAGGTACTAATCATGGTGACAAAGGCTAAGGGGCTTAAAGTAAGGCAGAGGAGGAAGCCTTGAGCTCTTCAAGGAGAGAGTCAGACTGGACTGGAATGTTGGAGGACGGGGACTTCAGGCAGAGCTTGAGAGTCTGTTGTCTGAAGCCACTGACTTCAATTTTTAGATTAATTTCTCTGTCACCTGAAGGTATTTTAAATCTTTCATTTCTAGAATGAGCATTGTGTTTCAGAAGAAGTGGTCTCAGATAATTTTTTAAAATTGAATGGACTTAAAAAAAATGGAGCTATTAGGCATGATTTGTTGTGTTTTTGATTGAGAGGCTTACTACTAAATTTATGTATTCTCTGTAGAGCAGTAAACTCTTTTCCTTTTCAGACATGAATGAACACAGCTCTAGAAGTCACAGTATCTTCCTGATTAATATTAAGCAAGAAAATGTAGAGACTGAAAAAAAACTCAGTGGGAAGCTTTATCTAGTTGATTTGGCTGGGAGTGAAAAGGTAATTGGTTCTTTATTTGTATTATCCACAGTTTCCCCCTGCAATTCGCTTCAGTGTGCAGTGGTATAATTTTTATGTCTTTCTAGTCCCTGGTTTTAAAGAGCTTTTAAAGTTTCTGATGTTGTGCCAAGATATTAAATTTAACCTTCATTTCCCTGCTCTTTCTTTTCTGGTCCTGAAGTTCCCTATTCACGTCACAGGAGGTGCTTGAATGCAAACCCTGATTTATGCCTAATAGACTCTGATGATGACACGAGGCGAGTGTTTGGTGTGTTTGGTGTGAACTTAGCCTGGTGAAGGCAGCTATTCAAAGGCGGGAGGGACGTGAACTTCTGAGGGCAGGAAAAATCTCTGTGTTGTAACAGATTCGAATAGGCCAGAAAGGGGCTTTGCCTTTGGAATGTGGCAGGCTTGCCTCTGCAGGTTTGTTTGCTGATAAAAGATCTGGAACATGGGGCTCTCCCTGCCTTCCTGGCTTCTCTCTCCAGCAGGTGTGAACTGCCCCAGTCCTGCATGGGCAGCCTCACTCCCTTCAGGCTACAGGGCCTGGAGCTGGTGTTTAGCCACAAGCTCTGACTGTTCTGTGATTTTGTCAGGAGTTTCTTTCGGCATCTGGACCCTGTCAGTTCTCTTCCAGGCACACTCGGCCACACTCCAGATCCAATAGGTTTCCCAACACCTGCCCCCTGCCCTCCCACCTCACCTCCCCAGCATTACGGGAAGCTCCTGTGGCCACACCCCAGCTGGGGGCACTGCCCGCCTTGGGTGACATCATAGAGCAGGTCTCTGCACACAATACCCTGTGGCCTACCTCATCGCTGATGTCATGCAGACTGTGTCCCCATCAGGGCCAGTCCTGAAGCTCAGTCAGTCTCCCGAACTGTGTCATTGATCCCCACTTGCTGCTCCCACCACTGAGTTGCCGAACACCAAATTATGGCCACTGTCATCCGTGTAAGTAATGGCTACTTAGGTTGTTCTCCTGTCCGCATTTGTACGGCCTGGATCGTCTGGATAGACCTAACTGGGACTTGAAAATCATTCTGGCCCAGCTTGAAACTGTAATTAGTAGATGCCCACCAGCCCAGGAGTAGAGAGTAGCATTGCTGTCCTCTAGATCGGCCATTAGCAGCCGGCATCTCCTTTGCTGCCCCACCTGTCGTGTGGGTCCAGACAAAGCTCTTAGGGATCCCTTGCCTCATCCCGAGCTTGCCCCATTTCCCTTTAGAGGACAGAGATAAGTACGCAGGGCCTAAATGCAGCAGGAAAGTGCTTCATGCAGGCAGCTGAGAGTGGAGGCCTGTACAGCATTGGCGGTTATTGCTTATGATATTTATGAGGTGTTTTAAAGTTGTGGACCTACACGTTCTTTCCTCTGCTCATATCTGTGTTTCTTGCCCTAGATGTATCCACATGAATGTGTCAGAGTGATCTAGTGGAACAGAGCTCTGGGGCTTAGTCCCACCTCCCCGAAATGTGTTCTTCTCTTGGTTCAGCAGTTTGACATGCCCGGAGCTCAAATTTTTCTTGTCTGTGAAAGGAAGGTGATTGTACTTGTCTTGCATATTTCATGCAGCGGAGATGCACAAATGTGAAAGCACGTTAAACACCAAGAATAGACTGTTACTATTTGTGAGCCGGCAGCTCTGTGATTTCTCCAGCTGTAAGCAGGGGACCCACACACAATTTCTGGAGAAATATTTGAATTTTTCTTTGGAAAAAAACCCACTCCTGCCCCCCAGACATGCATTCATTTCTGTCATTGGGAGTTCTTCCTTTATATGTAATTGAAATCCATCTTTGCACAGTTTAAAATCTTTTCCCCACTTTTCTTTCTTCAGAGAGCAGTCGCTCCACCTGTGTCTTTGGTCCAGTCAGCAGAGCTATGAATCATGTTGAATTCCCTTTTTTTCCCTAGCATCAGTGAACTGCTTTGTACCCAGAGCAAATGCTATACGTACAAAATTGCCAGTAATAACAGAGCCGAGGAGGAGTGGTACGTGGTTCCTCTAACTATGGGGAAAAAAGACAGATTCACTATGTAATATACATCTTTTTTTACTTTTCATGCCTTGTCAAGTATTTTTCCCTTTGGATGATTACTCCCTTTTTTTCTTACAATGGGAATGAATAGGGAAGGAACAGAGAGTCTGGATAACCATCCCTACCACCTCTTGACCTTTGCTTGAAGTTGGAGCTTGTAATGTCCGTTCACTGTGGCCAGGACATCGTTTTCTCTTCGCGCATCCCCAGCGTGGGGATGGTTCAGTCTCGCAAGACCCCAGCCTTTCTGTAGTAACGGCGCTTTTGGAGCCTGGCATCCCCAGACGGACGTCCCCTGGGAAGTATCTGCAGCTCTACACGCGAGGCGTCCCAGCCATTCCTCTAAAACCTAATCGAGAGGAAAATGACAACAGAAGAGAACCAGTCCCCTGCCTCAGGCACCAGGGAAAGTTTCATCGCCGTGATTCTTACTTACTTGTATTTTCCCCAGCACTCCAGGAGGGTTCCCCTCGGTTCCCTCCAGCATGCGTGCCCTCCTGTGAGTTGGAGTTTTCTCCTCTGCGCCTGTGCTGTCCTGTGCAGCTCACAGCTTTCTCTTCTCTCTGGTAGGTCAGCAAAACTGGTGCCGAGGGAGCTGTTCTCGATGAAGCTAAAAATATCAATAAGTCTTTGTCTGCTCTTGGAAACGTGATCTCTGCTTTGGCAGAAGGGACGGTAAGTGATTGTGTCCCCATCTATTAAATGATATCATGAGACGTTGCCTCTTGGGTCCGTGTACTCTCTTTGCCACACACCCTGGTGATTTGTATGTTTTTGTTTGGAAAGGGACAGGGGAATCCTGGCTATGGATACCCTGCTTGCAGGGAAATCCAGCCCATTAAAATGTGTGAATGGTGATGCTAATTTCATATGACCCAGGTCCCACAATGGGCATCCTAAACTTTGGCAAGATGCAAAGACCAGGCCACAGATTTTTATTTCACGTGTTTCTAAGCCCAGTTCCCATACTAACTTGCTGGCCTCTGTCTTTCTCTTTGAATTGGCTGTAGCAGACAGTATTTTTTCTTTTCCTAAATAGAAAACACACGTGCCATACCGGGACAGCAAGATGACTCGGATTCTTCAGGACTCTCTGGGTGGGAACTGTAGAACCACCATCGTCATTTGCTGTTCTCCCTCAGTCTTCAATGAAGCTGAGACCAAGTCAACGCTCATGTTTGGACAAAGGTGGGCATGACCTTCGTAACCTGTGCTCTGAGCTGGGTCTTAGGTGTTAGGGGTGAGTGGTGAGGTGCTTGGGCCAGAGAGGACACAAGAGGGAGGGGGCAAGCAGCCTGTTAATAATTTGCATCTAGCAGGTGGCCTGTAAACCTTGAGGCATCATGTATTGAGGCTGAAAGAAAAATTATGTTTTAAAATAATAGGTATGAATATGTCTATCAAAGGTATGATGTTAAAAAAAAAAAATCCAAGCTTATTGTAGATGTGATTGTTGGTAATTCAGTGGAATTTTGGTTTTGTTTTCATGGAATTAATTCTAACTCTCAGGTTCTTCATGGAAATTAAGTCTGACTCTCAGGTTCATGGAATTAAACCTTAATTCTCAGGTTCAAGCATATTCAACTCAAGACTGGTAACTACCAGTTACAAGTGGTAGTACTACTACTACTACCAGTAACTACCTCAATATTTGGAATCCATTGCAAATTTTCTGATAGACTAAATATTAGACTGAGTATTAAAGAGCAGGGAGAAGAAGTCCTGATGCTCACCCTGAAGTAGGAAATACAGCTGTGTGCTGAGGAGAGGGGAGGATGGCCTCACCTTCTCTTCTGCAGAAGTGTCTGAAGGACACTTCCTAGATGTCTGGGGAGTGTTACTAGGTAGGCAGCAGGGACAGCCAGTAACCCTCCACCAGCATTCCCCGGTATGAGTTAGTTCATCCGTTCCTTTTTTCCTTTGGCTGTGCTGCGTCTTCATTGCCGTGTCTGGGCTTCTCTGGTTGTGTGAGCAGGCTCAGCTGCCCTGTGGCATGTGAGATCTTAGTTCCCCACCAGGGGTCGAACCTGTGTCCCCTTCGTTGGAGGGAGGTTTCTTAACCACTGGACCACCAGGGAAGTCCCATCCCTTCCTTTCTTGACCTTCAGTCATGGTCTGTCAGTCAGTGGTGGTGAGCCCCATCCTCCCTGCATGGCCACCTGAAGAGCTAGTCCCTAGAGTGCTTGCGTGCTGTGGATGGGGCGATGCTGAGCATCTTCTGGGCTCAGTGGGCTGAGCCCAGAGCTGAGGTTGGGAGATGCAGACTTACTGACATCATCCCCTTCGGGCAACTGTGTTATCTTTGGACAAGTTAGCAGTTCTCTTCAGGCTCTGCCTTATGCCCGGAGCACTGCCTTCTCCCAGGAGTGTGTGGTTATGCCTGAGAAGTAGTTTAAGATGCCTAGAGAAAAAACAGATGGTGGTGGGCATTCTGGATCGGAGATTGTTATGGCTTGTTGAAACCACATTAAACCCCAAGCATTTCCTGAACCCTCACAGACCATAGAATTAACCAGTCATGGCACCTGTGGGATGTCTAAATAAATAATAATCACACTGAACTGTCGTAGAACTAATGTATCTTTTAATTTGGATTTGGGTCCTTTATTTCCTCTGAAATCACTTTCTTAATTAGCCAAATGCTTAGGTCAGTGGGTTGCAGAAGGATAACACCTTCTTTTCTTAAGGGTCACGGGATACCTATAAACCAGTATCAGCTTGTGAGAAGCATAGAATACTGTGGTGATCATCCTGCCTTCCCCATCTCTCTTGGTTTCTTTTAAAAAAGTTTTTGGCCACGTCATGCAGCATGTGGGATATTCGTTCCCCAACTGGGGTTGAACCTGTGCTACCTGCACTGGAAGCATGGAGTCCTAACCACTGGACCGCCAGGGAAGTCCCTCTCCTGGTTTCTTAAATTTAAGCTTTGACAGCTTCCTCTGAAGACATTTTGGAGGAAACCAACACTGGATGCGTTTATAAAAGGAACATCTCTTTTAAAAAAATATTCCCACCCATAAAGCAAAGATACTTTACACCTTTGCAAACCAGAGTCTTCCTGGGACACAGGCTCTGTCTCAAGGCTGCTGTTGTTGGTGGGCATGTCGCAACTGTCTAGACGAAGAGTTTTAGGTATGAGTGAAAATGATGATTTACTTTCTTCTAATCTCAGTGAGGCCATCATAGCATCATCATTATCACTAGCACTTTTTTAAGGAACTAGCATGTGCCAGACATGTCAGAATCCTCATATAAATTCTGTCAGGTAGGTGTTTCTCCCCTTTGTACAGAGGATGGGATTGAGACCTAGGCGCCAAGCCATTAGGTCCTGCCCCTGAGGCCACAAAGCTGGTAAATTGTGGGATGTTACTGGACTGAGACTGTATCACCTGACCCGCAGCCTCTTCCATGCGGGCTGCTTGATCAGGAATCTAGGTGAGCATAGGCCTCTGGGGCCGGTTACTCCTGCTTTGAAGCTCAGCTCTGCTCCTGACTCATTTTTTTCTCCCTTTTCCTTCTCTTGGAACCTCAGCCTCTTTGCCTGTAGGAAAAAAATATAATAATGTAATAACACTTACTTATGAAAATTATTGGGAGAATTAGATGAGTGGCTTCAGTTTTTACTCAGCACAAGGGCTGGCATGGAATATGGTGTCCCATAATTGCAAGTTCCTTCTTTCCTCCGTCTTTGAACAGGCTTGGGAAAGTCACAGTCATGCGTGGGGCTGGACCAAACGTGATATAAGGTACAGGATACAGCTGTAATATAAGGATCAGGACTGAATGAAGCAGTAGAATTAGATTTCTGCAATGAATGATGAAAGAAATCTGATAATCTGATAATTAAATGCTGATAATTTGGGATGCCAGGAAATAAATAGTAGGTCAGTTACATTTTCAAATGAAATAGGTTGGTTTGTAATCTTTTGTCAGAGTCATTTGAATACTGGGCTCCATGAGGATAAGAATTAGTTTATTACCAACATCAGTGAGTGGCACCAACAAGCACCTAGGACAACTGGGACACAGTAGGTGGTCAGTAGACAAATGTCATCAAACGAATGAGCAGATGAAGCTAATGCTTATTATGTAGGAATCCCAGAACATTAGGGCAGTTGCTGTACTATGACACCATTATGTCCAAAAATTGGTTGAGGTTTAGATCTGTTTTCCTGCTTGTAATTAGAAATGTGTTATGTTTTGTTCCTTTTCCTCCATCTTCAAGTTAGTTAATGGATTCTTCAAGGACATCTAACTTCTCTACGGGGCCAATACTTGCTTTATTGTTAAATACACACATTGAACCCAGTTACACAGCAGACATGAGTCTGAACCTCAGATTGGACATGGTACTGATAGCTAATGAGATTAAGCACTTTGAACTCAAAAAAGACTGCTGCACACCTCCCAAACTCAGTGTAATGAGTGTTCATTATATTCTTGTTGCAGGCCACACCTAAGGGCAGCACGGAGTTCCCTAGTTATCGCCACATGGTTCTTTCAAGAACACGAAGAAAGTCCATGTTTGTTGTTAAGCCATACTGTATTGACGTTCTGAATAAAACAGTAGTAGGTCCTTTGAAGCAGTAGAAACATGACAGAGAGTACAGATGCCTGAGGGCAGTCTTCCAAGTCAGCACTCTGCAGGATTCTAGATGAAGTCCTAGAATTTAAAGGAACAGATTTCACTGTGTCTGTTTCTTGGTTTCTGTGATGATGGCTCTTCTATTGGGTCAGGCCTGTTAGTTTTTGTCCCCTGAATGCCCAGCATTGTGCTAGGAAAGTGGTAGAGCCATTTCCTGAGTTGTCATAGAGCTTTCAATCTGGTTGAGGAGGCAATACTTGAATTTCCAGGCGATGGAGAGTCAAAGAGCTGTCCTCTGTCAGGAAGCTGAACACTTGCAGCTTTAAGGGTTGGGGACTCAAATTAGAGCAGTTTCATTTTCTAGTCTTTAATTACTCTTCCAAAGTACTTTATAGCACCATTCGAAAAGGATATTTTTAAGTTTTAGAAGTATAAACTCAAATCCCCCAATTATCTTGGAAGCCTGTTTAGTGTACCTTGATTTGGGACAATAATGAGGAAAAGGGGAGGCCCCTGGGGGCAGACCAGTTTAGAAACAGCCTGAATCAGCACATCATTGACACCAAGTGTTTTGATTGATCCAGACTGAATAATTCAGAGGCTTTGTTTTGTATGTTAAATGTGAAAGAAGAATGGATAGTTCAGGAAAAGTAATACTCTTTTTTCTTTTTCCGATATGCACTTTTCAGAAAAAAAAAACCAAAACTGTCCCATTTCATGCTCAGTTTGATGGTAGCTGGATCAGGCAGAGCCTGAGTGGTGTATGTGCAACACGCATATGTGCAGAGCTTGACAAGTTCCCTGCAGGACCAGAGCTTTGGCCAAAGGAGATGCTTGGCTACAGTTCTGACATACAATGGATTAAGACTCAGATTGGTTCCTGTTGGAGAGCCTGTTGCCAAAACACCCATAGGATTAATTTTTGCTCTTTGGAGGATGAGATGTTGTGGATGACAGTTAATTTACCTGGATGCCAAATCCTCATCCAGGTTGGTCATTTCTTAATATTTCTTGGGAGACTAGAGTTTTTCAAAAGACCAAATTTAAAGCTCTTGGTTTTTGCTTTCCTACATCCCCTACTCATGAGCAGGGAAGTGGCCTTACCAGGGAATGGGAAGGTGCTTTGTGGCAGTCACGTTTCCAGAAGAATGTTAGGCGTCTTACATGGGAACCTAGGACCTAGAATGGAGTAGAAGGTGTGATGGTTTTATGTGTGAGCTTGATTAGGCTGTAGTAGCCCATTATTTAATCTAACACTAACCTGGGTGTTGTCATGAAAGTGTTTTGTAGATGTGGTTATCGTCTAGCAGCAGTTGACTTCAGGTAAACACATTATCCTCCATAATAGAGGTGTGCCCCATCCAGTCAGATGGAGGCCATCAGAGCAAAAAATGAGGTTTTTTGGAGAAGAGGAAATTCTTCCTCAAGAATGCAGCAACAATTTCTGCATGAGTTTCCAGTGAGCCAATTTCTTTAAATAGCTAGCTAGACAGATGGATGGAAGGTATTTATGTATATATCAGATAGGGTATCTATCCATCCATCCATCTATATATCTGTTCTGTTGGTTCTGTTTCTCTGGAGAACCCTAACTGATAGAAAG